CTTCCTGCCCTATAATTAGTTGTGAAGGACCGACGCGTGAGGAGAGACCTCCTCTCCCACCGGCGGAGTACGGGTCAACGATTATTGACCGCAATGCAAACTTTTACAACGACGACGACCAAGTTCCTGCCTCGGCACATCCTTCAGGTAACGTCGAATATTTTCGTTGCTTTATGTCAGGGATCACGATGTTGGTGCCTCAGACAATATCGGATGACTGGATGCAAATCAGGTGTTGAACGTTCAGAATCTGACTTCCAAGTATGCAGTAAGTACGTTCCATGGTCCACTGAAAGTCATAATTAATGGACTGGCCTTGGCCGGCGAAAAGAACAGTCATTCAATGAGATTCACATCTTAGCCCGGCATTTGTGGACGAGAGAATATGAAACAAAATTCTTTATCACTTGATTGCACTCATTGCTATGCATTGAATTTTCTCAGTTTCTCTCTATGATAATGAAGGCAAGAAATGAACCCTGGTATTCTTATATCTACTTATAAAATAGATACCACTAAGGGAGGGAATAAATTTATATTTTGAACTGTTTAGCAGCATCTTTGGATGCATACTTGGAACATATAGATATTTTATAAGAGAAAAAAGCATTTGGTTTTAGAATATTTAGTTTTCATATGCAATATCATAAAATGTATAGTATTTCCGCATTGTTTAGCCATGATCTCTGAATTACCCATAAAATGCCTTCCAATTTCGTGTGTGATTTTGTCAATTTCGTTTTGGTTTCTCAAAGACGTCTCCTCATTCACCCGGTGACGCCTTTTCTTCTCCCAGCCAATTTAAGCAGCGCTGAAATTCACCCATTTTTCCAGATATGTAGATAACTTTTCTTACTGTACACTTTGCGTTGCTTCACCGGTTTGCATCGCAGATTTGCACAATCAGTTGTTTCAAGAATCTCAAATATCCATTCCAACGGGCGATACCATTATGTCGAATAAACCTGAAGAGAGAATTGGTCATTTTCACATTCTGTTGCTTATGTTGTTTTTATGTCATTGCGATTTAAAGCTGAGAAAGTTTTAGAATTAATTAATCATGTTCCGGCCAGTAGTCAAGTTTTACTGGTGCTGTGAACCAAGTCTTATATCAGTCATGCAATCTATGTGTACACTGTGCATGATGCATCGATGTTTGCTATAATTTTTGTATCTTCCTCGCTCCTGCTTACTCTGTCAATATGAATTTCCTCATTTATGTGTTATTATGCGAAAAGACAAATATCATTCACAGGTCAAAGGATTTGCATGGCATCTGAAAACTACTCGCTGTTACATAGATCCGTTTACAGCTCATGCAACAACGTCGAACCGTAAATAGCCACTATGGTATTGCGACTGCTGAGGTAGAAGCGAGCAAGGAGGTGTGTTTTCAACACCTCTTCGTGAAAGCCGGTACAAACCTGGGCGGTTTCGTTGTGGTTTGCTGTGGTTTAAAACCGGTTCGCCTGCCGCCTGGTGGACAAGAGAAGTTCAACTTAATGTCAGGGAGAATAAGGCTGAATTCAATAGATGGTTTGGAAGCAAGCTGCCTGCAATTAGAGTACAGTATGAAGAAACACTCAAGGCGGCAGCAAAAACAGTGGCCAATACGAAAAATGATTACTGAGAAAAATTTGCTGAGGTGATAGCGACGAATTTACAGAAGATGCTCAAGTAGACCATCCACTGCCTTTAAAACTGAAAGTGCCGCAATCTAGGAATCTTGAATTACAAGTGAGGACTGCTCCTTACCAAGAATGAGGACATTCTTTGGCGATAGAGAGAGTACTTTGAGGAACTCCTTAGCTCTGAGCAACGGCAAAAAGACTCGCCTGAAAAGCAACAGACAACGGATATCAGTCTTTCAGTAAATGAAGTCACAGAAGTTGTAGATAAACTAAAAGGCGGCAAGGCTGCTGAAACCGGTGAAATCTATCCTGAGATTCTAGAAACGTTAGGCGAACAAGGGGTGTTGTGGCTATCACGTGTCTATCAAACTGTAATGTATACGGGAAAAATACCAGCGGATTGGAGGACAGAGATTGTAGTACCCCTGTTCAAGAAGAGAGGGCTGTTCATCGATGACATGGCGATCACTGGATTTATAAAACAGAGGACTAAAGAAAAAATGAAGGCTTCACCATCTATCGTGATTTATGAAACTTACTGTTGCTGAGATATTCCGCAGGTATTCAAGGATGACGGTTTCTCTGCTGACGAGGACCTGACTACTTTTGCGTAGTTACAGGCACCTTCATATTTCACTTGTTTGTCTTACGTGCTTGTTCACAATTTTGTTCGTGTTGAGAAAATCACGTTCTTTCCAAAGCAAGCCCCCATCCCAGCATGTGTGATCAAATTTTGGTCAAGAAAAAAAATTTATGGTGTGGATTTGACTGTTTGTTACGTAAACACTAATCGTTTGAAGCCGAAAAATGCCGTGTTCTCGGTTGAGTCAGACTCAGTTGTTAAGTAATATGAGTTTTGCCTTTTGAACTGTT